CCAAAACGTCAAGGTTGTCAATAACGTCAATAACTGTGACAAAAAAACAACAACATACCTGTCACAGATGTAGGAAGAGTGTTGGATTTTTTAAGCTGTTCTCTGCGTTCAAACCTTGACAGAGGAGTCTCAGCTTTCTTCTCTTCCTGGGCTGAGGGTCTAGGCAATGTACTAGTTCTGCTGCTGCTGCTGCTGCTGCTGCTGCTTTTAGTATCTGTCTGATTGCTGATACTGGCCTAGTGCAAAGAACAACAACAAAAACCACATTATAGTGGTACCTCGGGTTACATACACTTCAGGTTACGTACGCTTCAGGTTACAGACTCCGCTAACCCAGAAATAGTACCTCAGGTTAAGAACTTTGCTTCAGGATGAGAACAGAAATTGTGTTCTGGTGGTGCGGCAGCAGCAAGAGGCACCATTAGCTAAAGTGGTGCCCCAGGTTAAGAACAGTTTCAGGTTAAGAACGGACCTCCAGAACGAATTAAGTACTAAACCCAAGGTACCACTGTACATTTTTAATATTTCATTATAACATAGTAATAATATATTTACAGTGCAAACTTATACACTTGTAGCCCCACTGAGTTCAGACTACCACATAAGTGGGTTATAAGACTGCAGCTTTGGTAGTTTGGATTTGATATCCTGCTTTATCACTACCCGAAGGAGTCTCAAAGCAGCTAACATTCTCCTTTCCCTTCTCCCCCACAACTAACACTCTGTGAGGTGAGTGGGGCTGAGAGACTTCAAAGAAGTGTGACTAGCCCAAGGTCGCAGCTGCATGTGGAGGAGCGGAGACGCGAACCCGGTTCACCAGATTACGAGTCTACCGCTCTTAACCACTACACCACACTGGCTCTCATAGATTACCACTGGTAATCATAGAATTGCAGCCTAGATTAATTAGCACTCACCTAGGAATAAGCCCCAGACCACGGGTACACAACCTAAGGCCCAGGGGCAGGATGCGGCCCAATCCCCTCAAATCCGGCCCGCAGATGGTCCGGGAATCAGTGTGTTTTTACCTGAGTAGAATGTGTCCTTTTATTTAAAATGCATCTCTGGGTTATTTGTGGGGCATAGGAATTCATTCATTCCCCCCCCCCCCAAATATAGTCCAGCCCACCACATGGTCTGAGGGATGGTGGACAGGCCCAGGGCTGAAAAAGGTTGCTGACCCCTGCCCCAGACTGACAAGCAAATGAACCAATAATGTGACAATGTCATTTCCTCCAATTTTCTCATTTGTACAATTGTAACTTTTGTTCTCCATGTTTCCACATTAGTTTGTGTGTTTTTTTATTTAAAAAAACCCTCATGAAAATTCATCAGCCTTCTAGTGTGAATTTCTCCTAAAATACATACTTTTGCAAGGCAGTTTCATGTTATATAGAAATGTATGCTATATACACCCCCCAAATGTATATAATTTCACTAATATGCATTCCCCAAGCATACAATCCCCAATAGAATGCATTTCTGTCCACATTACATGGCATGAAGGGTGGTGGCTGAAAAGTGAAAACAAAGTAGGCTTGTCTTTGCCAGGTGTACCAAATTGAATTGTTCCCTCATATTCTGAGTAAACAGCATAGATTGCATTGCTATTTACATACTTCATTACGGCGTTCACATGGTTAGTGTTAGACTATGTCCTGGGAGACCAGGGTTCAAACTCAGCCATGAAGCTCACTGAGTGACCTTGAGCCAGTCACTGCCCCTCAGTCCAACCTACCTCACATGGTGGTTGTGGGAATTAAATGAGGAAGGGGAGAACTATGTATGACACCTTGAGGTGGTAAGGCAGCAAACAAGATAATGTAAGCCACCAGAATAGCCACAAAAAGCTGAAAACTGCAGCAGAGCAAACCAAGCATAGACACAAACTTCCTCTGTCCTCACATGCTTGGCTTTCAGGGTTGCAAGAGACAATTGCATGTTCCCTAAGGTATGGGAGGGACGTGGGTAGCGCTGTGGGTTAAACCACAGAGCCTAGGACTTGCCAATCAGAAGGTCGGCGGTTCGAAACCCCGCAACGGGGTGAGCTCCCGTTGCTCGGTCCCTGCTCCTGCCAACCTAGCAGTTCGAAAGCACGCCGAAGTGCAAGTAGATAAATAGGTACTGCTCCGGCGGGAAGGTAAACAGCGTTTCCGTGCAATGCTCTGGTTCGCCAGAAGCGGCTTAGTCATGCTGGCCACATGACCCGGAAGCTGTATGCCGGCTCCCTCGGCCAGTAAAGCGAGATGAGCGCCGCAACTCCAGAATCGGCCGTGACTGGACCTAATGGTCAGGGGTCCCTTTACCTTTAAGGTATGGGAAGTGCTGTGGCTCCACTTCCCTCCTAACTATCCAGAGTTCCTTTCAGTTTGGCTGCACTCTGCATTTGGACTGACCCGAGGCTACTGCATTTTTCCATGTATAAGACGACCCCTATTTTGGGGGACTCCAAATAAAGAAAATGGGGAGAGATTGGACAGAGTTGTTGAGCTTTTTCTGGGGGGGAATTGCCGAAATTTGCTCACCCTCCTGACCAACGCTGCCAATCGCCCGTGTCACCACCAGCAGCCGCCAATCACCTGCCCAATTGCCGCAGTGACAGCAAGTCAACAGCAGGCTTTGCCACAGCCACCAATCACCTGCTCAATCACCGCTGACACTCTCCTGCTCGCGGTTGGAACCAATCGCACATCCCCACTGTGCACTACCTGTGGCCTTAACCAGAGCCAGGGCTTTTTCGGCTGTGGCTCCGATCTGGTGGAACACTCTGCCACAAGAGACTAGGGCCCTGCGGGACTTGACATCTTTCCGCAGGGCCTGCAAGACAGAGCTGTTCCACCAGGCCTTTGGCTAGGGCACAGCCTGACTCCCTCCTTTGGCAATCTTCAGAGAACTCTAGCCCAATGGTTGCCATCAATTTGATTTGAATTAATTTTATAATGAAATGATTTTAGAATGTTGTATTATTTTATTGTTGTTAGCCGCCCTGAGCCCGGCTTCGGCTGGGGAGGGCGGGATATAAATAAATTATTATTATTATTATTATTATTATTATTATTATTATTAACCCCTTTCTTAAAATTCTTTTAGAATAAAAAAACATCGTCTTGTACATAGGAAATTATGGAATTTACCAGAGGGCTGTGTCACATGTGGGATGGAGGGAGGGAGGGATAAGAGCAGTGAGAATTCCAGTGGGAAAAGAAAAAACGTTTGAGGTTTCCAGGATGTGATAACACAAAAGGTTCTCTTGAGATAATTTCACTTATGGACAGAAGGAGCTGTGTGCTGTTGTTGGGGAGGACTGCAGCAAGGTGTGAACAGCAGACTTCTGCATGAACCCTTGGCTTCTTTGGGAACAGTTGGCCAGCAAAATTGGGGGGGGGGGGGGACAAGCAGCCAAGTTCTGCTTGAGAGAAGGTGCCAATACACAAATCCACATGCTGTCCGTGGGACAGGGTGCAAGTACATAAGGAAAGATAGAAAAAAAACAGGGGAAGGAAGGCTTGCAATTTTTTGCCGGCTTCCATTTAGCGTCGAAGTCACATAATGGTTGCTTACCAACAGGAAACGGATATCTGCTCTCTATGTGTGGACATACTGCTCTTATTCTTTTACCATCTCCTCAATGAGTATCGTGCAATATGGAAAAGGTTGCATTTCTCTCTCTCCAAACCACAATACAGGCTTAGAAATGAGGTCTCCAAGATTATTCTGGACTCTCAACAGTCCAGTTCTACTATGAATGAAGAATGGTCATGACAATGACAAAACTACGTATTTCCCCACTGTCTTTACTAGCCAAAGCTTAAATAATTTCTAAAATCTGAAGGCAGCTGTGACGTTAACATATGAGAGTGCTGGAGGTGAAATGGTTAAACAAGTTACCCAATCAGAACCAGGGGGTGGAGTCAGAAGGACTATAAAACCAGCTCTGGGAGGGGCGAAGGGAGAAGTTCTTGGGTGGGTGGTTGGAGTGGGAGTGAATTGGGATAGAGTCTGTGGGGAGGTTGAGTTAGTGTAGCGAAATAAGCTGAGTCAGGAACAGTTAGGGGCTAGGAAGACAAGTAAATATCTGAGAGGTGGTTTAGTGAGTGAGAGCAGGTAGCGGAAGTTATAGGTCTGGATAGGCACCCCATGATTGTAATTGACTGATACTGTTTATGAAACCACATGCTTGTTAAACTGCAATAAATAAACAGAAGTTTATGTTCCAATTTAACCCTGACTGGATTCAGTATTGTACCAGGTAGGGCCTGGGTGGTGGCAGCGAGAAATAAAGTGGTGGCACAGGGATCAATAGACGGTGAAACATCCTCCGACCCTGTGTGATCGCCACAGCAGCTAACGAGAAAAAAAATCAAAATACTTCATACCATCAGGGATCATTCTTTTGGATTTGTTAGATCTGCTGTTGCTCTTTAAAGAAAGAAAAAAATCACCTGCAGATTTATGTACTTACATTTTCTTTAGCAAGTTTCTCAGCTTGCTTTGCCTCCCTGGCTTGTCTCCTTTCCTCTCTGGTTGCCTGCTGCTCTCGAAAGCCCTTCTGCTTTTGCAGAGCCAACGTGATCCAGAGTGGCTGTGCGGTTTCAACTTTTTCAATCAGCTTGGAGCCATCTATGGAATGTCTGCTCTGAAGAACTGGCCTTTCTAGAAGAACACAACATACATGGGTTTCAATCTGTATGACAGAGACAGAGATGCATACAAGATATTCAAGAGGAATATCTCACCCAGTATTCACTAAATATGGCTTAGTGTGGTGCAGCGGTCAGAGCGTTGGACTAGCACTGGGGAGACCAAGGTTCAAATTCCCACTGTTGTAACATTTCTTTTTAGGGGAGTCAATAACTTCCTAATGATCCCTAGTGCGGAATTCACCTTTCTCCCTGCCGAACACAGGGTCAATATTTTCATTGAGCTATTTGCCATGACCCCAAAATCCCTTTCCTAGCAAGTCACTGCCAGCTCAGACCCCATCAGTGTATCCACCACTAAGCAGCTGATAGCTCAGTCAGTAAAGCGTGAGACACTTAAATATCAGGGTCTTGGGTTCAATCCCCACATTGGGCAAAATATTCCTGCAATGCAGGGGGTGGACCAGATGACCCTCATGGTCCCTTCCAACTCTACAATTTTATGATCCCACAATTCTATGATCTATTATCTTTTTTAAAAAGTAGTAAACAGATGATCTCACAGCATAGCTATCCTCTCCTCTCTCACCTTCGACATTTGCTGTAAGCCAAATCAAGTTAGGCTCCAACTGAGCCTTTCATCCCTTTCTCCTTCATTGTAGCTCCGCACTTCTAGAAAACATTCAGCTGAGACTTCAGCAGCGCCAACTTTTTCAACAATTTTGTTAACAAGATCTTTGCATCCTTAGATCTCGGTGCAAGCTGTCCTAGAAATGTCAAAACTTGTTTTATCTGTAACCATCTACTGAGCACTAACACCTCCGTCTATTTCTAGAAAGCGCGGGGGTTCAATTTTGGAGCTATTTGACATGTTATTTTGGGATATTTGGGCAAACTTTCAAGCTTGCAAATGGCCATGCTGCAGAAAATGAAGTTTAGAAGTCCCGCATAAGACGGCTGCCCAAAAGGGCTAAATCCCCGTGGAGCAATCTCTGGAATCAGACAGAACTCCACCACTGCCATTCATTTCAATGGAACACAAGCCAAAGGATTAATGCACAGATCTACCCCTCCTGATGAAATGAATGGGGAAGGCTTGCATGCACAGGAGCTCTGTATGGGGACACTACATTTGGATGCGGGGATTTACTGCAATAACATGACTTGCCAAGATATAGATGTAGGAAAATGTGGAGGAGTCCTTATTGGGATATGAGTTTACTGGGATGCATTTACACACACATGAACATCTCTAGATTACTCAGATTAATTAGTTGCTTCTATTGTCAAGCACTGTGTTTGCTGCAATGTGACATGATACAAAAAACTTTCCCTGCTATGTGTAATCTAATTTTATGCAAGGCAAATAATCACTTTATGCGTCAGTCCTTAAAGAGACGTGTGAAATCACCCCTGGTGTGCGCATAATAAAACTTTGATGGAATCCAGTAATGAACCTATAAAAACCACCACCGAGGAAATTATACAATACTGTTTAAGGCTGACATTTCGGATATTGATCTCCCTTGCTCATCACAGAGCTGTATTTAGGGGCTGCATTTCTTCGCCTACCTTTTTTCAACGGCTCTGGCTTCTTCTCTGTTCTCTCTCTCCATGGCATGGTGATGGATGGGAAAAAGGACCTCTTCTCCCTAGACTCTTCCTCTTCTCCCTTGCTTGCCTCATGGGCTTGTGAAAGCACAGAGCTCCCTTTAGCTTCCGTTTTTCTCCAGGTGGTGTCAGGCTCCATTTTAGCCACCCTTTGCCCCGTGGATTCGGTTAAGTGAGACCTGCGCATTTTTGAGAGAGGGGATGATGGCGGAGTTTGGCTGGTGGGCTTTGGAGCCAATGCAGGTTTTTGCAGGAGTGGTGATTTGCAGATGGGTTTCTCTTGACTAGGTGCAGACACGTGACTGCTAGATGCAAGAGATACCGGTGCGGCTGTCGTATAACTCTGATTAATATTAGCTGAGGAGTTCTTCACAGAATTAACCATGACATCCTTTCTCTCTTGGCTTGGGGATTTGTTCTCTTTTAAAAACATATGATTTGCATCTTTCTCATTGTCAGGTGTAACCAGCGGGGTGGGCACCCCGTCAAAACTGTCTCCTGCGCTATACCTTTTCTTCTTCTTCTGCTCAGCTTGCTGATCATAGTGAAAGCGCAAGGAGTAGTTGGTCCTCCTTAATTTCACCCCAAATGGGGACACATTTTCTTCTCCATTTGGGGAAGCGCTGTCCACTTTCCTTGCACCAACCTTCTGCTGTGTTTCCATAGCAGCTGCTGCACTTTCCGACTGGGCTACTTCCTTACTTGGAGAATGCGAGACGCCTGGAACAAGGAAAGATGGGAGATCTTTGGCAAATTTACAACCCTCGGTGTTGCCTGCCACTTCGCGATGTATTTCAGTATTTCCTGTGGGTGTTCCAAGATTATTCCCTGCAGCTGACAGTGGCTCGGTATGAACTGTCTCTTGGGTTGAATGGACCGTGGGTGGACCCAACGGCTTGGCTGGGGTTTCTGCTTCAAGGCCAACTTTACTCTCGGCGCTTGCATTAGCCGAAAACTTCTGCCAGGCAGGAGTTATAGAAAACTTTGCACTTGCAGATAAGGTCTTGCGCAAATTACCGTGGGAAATGTTTTGTCCTTTGGGTGTCCAATCATCGCTATGCCTACTGAGGCTTCCTTTGTCTCTCTCATTGCGCTTGCCATTTTCTGCACTTTTTAAGATTTTTGACCTAATCGAAGCCCATTCAGCTGGGATGGTTTGGTTGCCCAATGGCTCTTGGGTATATTTCATTTTACTATTCCTACGCTTCGCATCTGGTGACGTTTTCCGTGCGTCCATTGTTTTTCTCTCTTCTGTTAAGCCAAGGAGAGATTTGCAAGCCGTATCTTTTATCTGATTGAGGTTGACTGCAGTTCCACAGAGCTGTGCTCCGGTGACCAAAATTGCTGTGTGGGGGACGCACAAAGAAGTCGGGGGACCGTGAGAACCTTTGCTGGATTTAGGAGTCGTCAATTCTTTTGCAGCTGAAGGAGTTGGTGCCTCTTTGACAGGCGTAACTGGGCTCAGATTTACTTTTGGAAATATAATTTGCTTTTCTCCAGAGGATACTTGGAAGGTAAATCCCCTGGGCATAGTTTGCCTCGCGTCAACTTCCTGCCATCGGAGCTCCTCACCTAAGATTCTTTCCTGCTCTTGAGCTTCAATGTCCCTTTTCTGGTGGTGCCTTACAGTTTCTTCTTCCTTCTGCTCTTTGTCTGGCTGCTTTAATGTTTGCTGGCTAGCTTCTTTAAGTGGAAGATCTTTCTCGGGGCTTTCCAAATGTTGCTCTCCCAAATGAATATTTTTGTCCAGTTGCAACGGGAAGGATTTGTCTTGTTCCTTTGGCTTTTCCAGTGGTATTTGTCCTTCTAAACTAGGGGATTTCTGTTCTTCCAGCTTTCGTCCTCCTTCCCTCTCTATCAACTCTTCCTGTTGCATCTTCTTCTCAGGCCATGGCTGTGGTTCACATCTTTTGTGTTCTGCTGCTGATCTAATTGGTTTATCCAGTTCTTGCTGATCTTGTTTGTCCTTATTCATTTTCTCCTTTAGATTCTGTGGTAGTTCTTCTGGTCTCTTTTGCTTTTCCAGCTTTATGGCACTCCCCTTCCTTTCCAACCTTTCTTCATCTTCTAGATTCCTTTTTTTCTCTAGATCTTTTTGTCTCAGGTCTGTTTGCCTTTTTTGCACTTCCTGTTTCAGTTCATCCTGCTTTTCAGCCTCATTCATGTGCTCTTCCAGTCCTTGCGCTCTCTGTCCTAAATTCTGATGCCCTTGTTTTTCTTCCTGCCATTTTTGCGTCCCCTGTTCTTGCCTGTCTTTCCACCCTTGCTGAAAGAGCTTTTTATGTTGTTGCTTTGCCTCTAATTCTCTGTGTCCCTTTTCTTCTACTTCTTCTTGATCCTTCTGTTCCTGCCATTTTTGCTCTTCCAGTTCTTGATGTCTTTGCTCTTCCTCTTGCCTTTGCCTTTCAATCGCCAGTTCTTGCCACTTTTGCTCTTCCAGTTGCCTTTGTGCCTCCAGTTCCTGATGCCTTTGCTCTTCCAGTTGCCTTTGTGCCTTTAGTTCCTGATGCCTTTGCTCTTCCAGTTGCCTTTGAGCCTCCAGTTCCTGATGCCTTTGCTCTTCCAGTTGCCTTTGCGCCTCCAGTTCCTGGTGCCTTTGCTCTTCCAGTTGCCTTTGTGCCTTTAGTTCCTGATGCCTTTGCTCTTCCAGTTGCCTTTGTGCCTTCAGTTCCTGATGCCTTTGCTCTTCCAGTTGCCTTTGTGCCTTCAGTTCCTGATGCCTTTGCTCTTCCAGTTGCCTTTGCGCCTCCAGTTCCTGATGCCTTTGCTCTTCCAGTTGCCTTTGTGCCTCTAGTTCCTGTTGCCTTTGCTCTTCCAGTTCCCTTTGCTCTTCCAGTTGCCTTTGCGCCTCCAGTTCCTGATGCCTTTGCTCTTCCAGTTGCCTTTGCTTTTGTTCCTTTAGTTCATGCTGCTTTCCTTTTTCCTGTTGCATTTGTTCCTCTGGTTCCTGAAGGCCCTCTTCATTCCTTCTCTGCTCCTCCAGTCCTTTGTGCCTCTGCATCTGAAATTCTTGATGCCTCCGTTTTTCAAGACTTTTCTTCCCCTCTCGATCCTTTCTCTCCTCCATCTTCAAAAGCTGCTCTTCTTCCTGAAGCTTCTGTTTCTTCCCTTCTTTTTCCCTTTGGCATTCTTGAAGTCTTTTGTGTTCCGTGTGGCTTTTTGACTCTGCTTCAGCCATTTCTACTTTCTTCTCAGTCTCCAAGTTTCTCCAGCAATGTTCTAGCTTTCTTTTGCCCTCTTTCTGTTCTTGGCTTTCCCTATGCTGGATAGGCTTGTCTGCAACATGGTAGCCATCGTGTTTGGAGAGCTTATCTTCAAACAACTGTGGTTCCAGGATTTCTTGTTCAACCTCTGCCACTGCCACACTTTGCATCTCCTAGTGTCAGGAAACAGAAACAGTTTAGCTTAACATTTTTTATTTATGCAATCCTATGCTGTGTGGAGCAACAGGGTAATAATTAACTAGTGTTTTAAGTCAATAACCCTGGAGTTCATAATGAACCGCCTTACATTTTAGTTCTTTTTGCTATAAAAAAATGCATACACATACGTTTGGTCACAACACTGCGCCATAAATTATGGCCAAGTTAGCCAGTCTGCGCACACAGTTCAAGTTATCTCACTTTGCTCCTCCTCTCCTCCAGCAAGAACACAAACCATGAAGCGTCTGGTTTAGCATTATTTTTCAACCAGTGCTTGTGGTTCTTTTCTCTCAAACATACAATCTGAAGCCAAGCTTTGTTCTTAGCTTCCCAATCATAGTTTTTTGGAGAGAAACAAATAATGCCAAGCCAGATGTTTCATGGTCATTTTCCCCGACTGGAGG